TGGGATCATGACCTGAGCCGAAGGCAGACGCTTAACGACTGAGCCACCCAGGCGCCCCTAAAATTTCATTTCTTTATACTCACTGAATAATTTAAAAATGTACTTTCTTTAATTTCACTATCAATACCATTTGCAATCATTTGTTTGAAAGTATGTATTGGTGATGGATGTTACCTAGACTTACTGTGGTGATTATTTTGGCAACCTATGCAAAGATTGAATTGTGTTGTACACCTGAAACTGGTACAATGTCACATGTCAATTATATCTCAATAACAAAATACATACTGTACATTGGATATGAGCTAGGCATTGTTCTAGTTTCTGGATACAACATGGGAAAAAAGACAGGATCTTGACTATTATGGACTCTGCAATCCAAATGCAGAGGTTTTTTTTCAGTGGAGGGTGAATTACCAAATGTCATCCTTCTTGGATCAGTTGGAGGGAGATTTTTGGTGAGCAGCCTTATTGGGGAAGTCATTTGTACTATATGCTTGAGGTCATTGATTTGGCTTGGTCACTGGTTCAGGTGAAGCCCATTCATGAATTTTCTAAAATAGTATATAGTTGTAGTGATTAGAACATGACACCATCTTTGAAATTGATTTGGGTTGCTCATTGTACAAGGCATGGATGGTATTGCTCTTGAAAAGTTTAAGGACGGAGCACCTGGGTGGCTCAATCGTTAAGCGTCTGCCTTCGGCTCAGGTCATCATCCCGGGGTCCTGGGATCGAGCCCCACATTGGGCTCCCTGTTCAGCGGGAAGCCTGCTTCTCCCTCTCCCACTCCCCATGCTTGTGCTCTCTCTCTCACTGTGTCTCTCTCTGTCAAATAAATAAATAAAATCTAAATAAATAAATAAATTTAAAAAGAAAAGCTTAAGGACTAGGATGTTGACATACTTTAAAGAAAATGCATGAAAACCATTTCTGTTTAGAGATTTTGCTAAATCAAGACAGCAGGCTTACAACATACCATCTAATGATATGTTTTATTTATTGAGTATCAGGTTTGTGGCGAATGCTTTGTAAGAACCATCTTATAATTCTTGGAGGGAGGCATTATCTTCATCATCTCCATTTTAAAATTGAGGGACTGAGCCTTAGAGAGATATTACATAATTTATCTACGAAGTATCAGAGTTAGAATTTGAGCCTTTGAGATCTAATTCCTCAGTTTTTGCTCAAACCATTATGTTGTAATCCTCATAGCGAAAGACACCTGAAGCCTTACATTGTCAATTTGGAAAGGTTAGTGATGCATGGGTAGGGCTTGATTTCCCTAAGAAACTTAGAGACATTGAAAGCACTAGCAATACCAGGGTATCACAGAGAGTCCCAAACTCCTTATGTTTTTGCAATTGTAATACCACTCCTTTGTCTAGGCATTTCAGAAAGCAGAGTTGACCCTTGAACAGCATGGGTTTGAACTACACAAGTCTACTTTTACTTATTACTTTTTAAAAATAAATATAGGACAGTACTATCCATGTACAGTATTATCGATGTATTTTCTCTTCCTTATGATTTTCTTAATATTTTCTCTAGCTTCCTTTAAGAATACAGTAATTCCTATAAGAATACAGTGTATAATATGTATAACTAACAATTATGTGTTAAGTAACTGTTTATGTTATCGGTAAGGCATCCAGTGAAGGATAGGGTATTAGTAGTTAAGTTTTGGGAGGGTCCAAAGCTGTATGTGAATTTTTGACTGTGCTGAGGGTCAGTGCCCTTAACATCTGCATTGTTCATGGGTCAACTGTATTTCAAAAAATAGGTGCAATCCATTGAGAAGATCGGAAAACTGAGGAAAGTCCACATTTTGGAAGTCTAGTCTACTTCTTTCACAAAAATCTGTGGTTGATACATCTGAAAACTGAAAACCACTCCATTTGGAAGTTTACATAATTACATGTAAGTGTGGCCTTCACCCTTGCTTTCATTTTATGATTGACTGCTTAGCATTAGTGGCCTCCAACCTTTAGTTTTTTGTTGTTGTTTTCACCAACTTGTTAGGAGTGGGTAAAATTCTGATTTTGCCTTGCCAGGCTTTCACTTTGGAGGCTAACTTCAAACCTTACAGAAATCTTTCAAAGCCTTCTCTAGATCCCTCCAAGCAAGCCACTGATGAAGACAATGACTATCATGCTTTTTATGTAGAAGAATGGGCAAGTTTGGCTTTGGTGAATTGTATAAGGCATTTTTGTCTACATAATCTCATTCATGTTCTTGGCCTTTACTATCTTCTGGACAAGGGGCTAATTGGCTTTCAATGATACATTATCTAATAAATCCCTATAAAAGGACACTTTTTCATAGCTACTCAGCCATGTTTAAAAATGCTTCATACATCATGGAGAGAAGAGCTTGTTGCATTTGTAGATCTTGAGCAAAAGTTCCTTGTGGATCTTGTTCGAGGTGAACCGGGCCAAAGACAAGTAAAAATTTGAAGAATTTAAATAACACAGTTAACCAACTTTATTATATATCTCTGTTTGAACCCAATAAAGAGGAATACATGTATTTTCCTCTTCTGTTTCTAAAGTGTGTGCAAAATTTAATTATATACTTGGCCTGCAAAAAACATTAACATTTTTTCTTAAACTGGAACACTTGTAGGACACATTCTGACCAAAAAGCCAAAATATTAGATTTCAATGGTAAAACAAAATAATAAAAACCACTTAGAATTTGAAAAAAAAAAATGCCTTTCCAAGATTACAAATGCTTTAGCAATTAATGCAAATGAAGCTCTCTTCACTGAAAAATCTCCATGATGTGAATAGAGCTGTACTCAGAGCAAAAATCATGACTTTAAATGGTTTTGTTTTTTAATTTTAATGCAAATGACTCAAACTCTTAACTTGGGAAACTAGGAAAAGAATAACAAAATAAACCACAAATGAAAGTCAGAGAGCAAGAAATTAATAAATATAAGGCAGACTTGGCTCTATTTTTAAAAACCTACCACTACAATCTACAGATATGCTGGACTTCATCAATTAACCCCCCCCGCAAATTTTTTTTTACAAAGACACTTAATGGATAGGCTTGCCAGATAAAATACCGCACACTAAGTCAAATTTGAATTTCTGAGAAACAACACATCATTTGGGGTGGGGGATATTTCAAATGATGTCCCAAATATGGGACATACCTGTACAAAATATTTTTTATTGTTTATCTGAAATTCACATTTAGCTGTGTGTCCTCTATTGCTATTCGCTAAATCTGGCAATGTTACCAATGGAAGAGAACAGTTCTTTAAGTTTGAGACTCTAGATGAATTAGATCATTTCATAAGAGAATTAAAGGGACACAAATTGCTTCAAGAGGATAAAACCCAAACTGAACAAAGAATTGATGCTGAATGAAAAAGGATACTAAGTATCTGTCATCAGAAAGGCATTAGGAATTCTGCTTTCACCCTTGGAGGAGTAACAGGGACCAGATTTAACCTTTTGCAGTAAAACTGGACAAAGTATATGGCACAGCTATTTTTAGATACTGGACCACGGTCAGCACACACCATGATCCTTGAGACAAGGGAGACAATGAGGTAAGCCCTAAGATCTTGGCTTATTGCTTGGAGGAAATATTCAGACACAGGCACAGGGATAAGAAACCCAAGAAAGACAAAGCAAGTCTTGCTTAGTTGTGGAGGATGGGGAATGGAATTTGGGGGTGGAGGGTGCAGGGGCGGAAACAACCGGAAGTTGCAATGCAGAGTTCCAGAAATGAAGGTCCTGCAGAGAAGCAGAAGCTCCAAGACCAATATAGTGTTCAGTTAAGGTTTTACTGAGAGGGCGTGAAGAGAAACTCCACAAAGCGAGACAAAGAAGGACTGGGGATTACATCCTCAGGGATTCCTGGAGTGTGAAGGGTCAGGAAGAGCACCCAAATTACGGTTAGTCTTACTGATGACTACAGGTGTGGAAATCTTAGATGGTATATATACTTTTAAAAGATTTTATTCATTTATTTGACAGAGAGAGAGAGAACAAGAAGAGGGGAAGGGCAGAGGGAGAGGGAGAAGCAGGCTCCTCGCTGAGCAGAGAGCCCGATGTGGGGCTCTATCCCATGACCTGAACCAAAGGCAGATGCTTAACTGACTGAGCCACCCAGGTGCCCCTTAGATGGTATATTTAAGATTATATAAAGAAATACCTTATGGCCAAATGAGATTTATTCTAGGCATGCCAGGATGCTTTAAATTATTTTAGCAAATAATTTAATCAAATGGGACTTATTCAAGGAATACAAGGACAGTACATTAGTAACTCTATCAACTTAGCATGTATTCTTTGCAGAAGCTCAAAAACAATTAGGAAGAAATGGAAAACTCCTAAATATAGAAAAACAGGGGTGCCTGGCTGACTGGATAGGTGGAACATGTGACTCTTAATCTCAGGGTTGAGTTTGAGGCCCTTGTTGGGTGTAGAGATTACTTAAAAGTAAAATCTTAAGGGGCACCTGGGTGGCTCAGTTGGTTAAGCATCCAGCTCTTGATCTCAGGTCTTTTTTTTTTTTTTTTATTTGAGAGAGAGAGAGAGAGACAGAGACAGAGAGAGCATAAGCAGGGGGAGAGACAGAGAGAGAGGAAGAAGCAGACTCCCCACTGAGCAGGGAGCCTACGCAGGGCTCCATCCTGGGACCCCGGGATCATGATCTGAGCCGAAGGCAGACGCTTAACCATCTGAGCCACCGAGGTGCCCCTTGATCTCAGGTCTTGATCTCAGAGTGGGGAGTTCAAGCCCTGTGTTGGGCTCCATGGCCTACTTAAAAAATAAAAAAGTCAAAATAAAATCTTAAAAGAAAACCAAACCAGTATTAGACATAAATAGCAACTACCACATTAAATACTAACTGTATTCTCTTTAAATTTGGGGGGGTGATGGTGTTTGTCATTTTTTTTTCCAAATTTTTTGAAGATTCTAATTAATGCAGTAAGATAATAGATAAACTGCATTTGTATTAGAAGAGACACAGTTACCGTCCATTATATGCAGAAAACATGACCATATGCCTAGAAAGTCAAATGGACCTCAGTGAACTAGTGTTCAAACTAATAATAAAGTTCACAAAGGTGTTTGGAAGCAAGGTGAATATCTAGATAGTTTAATTATATCAGCAATAAATAGTTAATTAACATTAACTTTTTAAATCTCATTAATGATAGCAACAACAGCTGTGGAAAGTCTCAGACTAGATGTAATAAGAAATGTAAGTCTTCGTGAAGTCAGGGATGTCATTTTGTCCAAAGAGATTTAGGGCTGAATAAATGTAGCATTCAGGAGGGCATCTTTCTTAAATTCGTATTATCAATCTTCTGAAACTCCCATCATAACCCTAATGTAGTTTTGGTGGGAAGTCAGTAGAAGGGAACTTGTCAAGGTGTTTTTTGTTGTTTGTTTGTTTGTTTTAAGATCACTTGAAAGACTATATGTGGAAGATTACTCAAACACTTTAAAGAAATTTCAAAAGATTGAACAATTTTTGAAAGTGATTCTATTGTGGACTTACCTTACTAGATATTAAGAAGTTCTATAATAATATAATCAAAACACTGTGGCATTGGTGCATAATGGACAACTAAACCAATGAAATGTAAAGAGGGCCCATTAAGATTAAAAAAAAAAAAAGATTTCATTTGAAATATATGGAGCAGGAACGTATTTCATAATAAATGACGTTAGGACAATTGGATTTCTCTCTGAAAATAAAAATTAAATATCTACCTCATACCAAACTGTAAAAATAAATTCCATTGAATTAAAAGTCTAGATGTAAAAAATAGAAAAATGAAAATACTGAATGCAATACTTTATTATTTTCAGGTAACTAAAGCCTTTTAAGTCTGAAATAGAACTCAGAAATCATAAAGAAAAACATTAAGATGTATTGCTATATGAAATTTTAAAAGCATGGTATGGTAAAAAAAAAAACCACACAATAAATAACATTAACAAAAAAATGACAGATCAAGGAATAACCTTTGAGTAAGTACATTTATGATAACTATATATTTTAATATCATATCAGTTATATGTAAAGAGTTTTTACAAATCAGTGAAGTGGAGACAATACCCAATAGGAAACTACACAAAACTTATGAACAGGTGATTTGGAAGAGTAAATTCAGATAATCAAAGTTCAATGAGAATATTCTAAACTTTGCTGATAATGTTAAGATTTGAATTCAAATGAGATATGATTTTTCATGTTTTATCTATTGTATTTCTAGTCACTTAATAACTTATAATACCCAGGCATGGTGGCGTTATGGGAAAATAAGAATTTTCATGCACTTTAATGCTTATGAATTACTACATTTTAGAAGACAATTTGATACTATTCATCACATTTGAAAATATTTCTGCTTTTTGATAGAAAAATACTATCTCAAGCGTTTATTATATTGAAACTTTTCTACTGACCAGCACAAGTACCACCCGGATTCTTCAGTCACCTTCCTCTTCTTGGTCTTGAAGTCCCTGTACCCTAGGATCCATCTCCTGGGTGGCCCCCTTTCCAGTTTTTGGTTTTATGGGCCAGATGACTGCCCCACATTCTTTTAGATGAATCCGTAACTCCATGGTTCCTAGAATCTTTTGCAGTCAGAAAATTTTTTCTTCTTCCCTACTATTATTCCCTTGTATATGATTTCTCAGAACCAAACCCTCTACCATCAACCTCTAAATATGATGTTTCTAGCATTAAAACTAAGCCTGGAGGTCCTCTATTCATCTGAAACCCAGCTCAGAGTGGCGCCTGGGTGGCTCAGTCATTAAGCGTCTGCCTTCAGCTCAGGTCATGATCCCAAGGTCCTGGGATGGAGCCCCGCATCGGACTCCCTGCTCACCGGGAAGCCTGCTTCTCCCTCTCCCACTCCCACTCCCCCTGCTTGTGTTCCC